GTAATATGACTTGATAGATTTAAACTCCGCACACTGAGCTCTGATTGGTCAGCAGGCGGTGCTTTCACTGAGTTGAGCTCTTTTCTATAGGCGGAGGCGGGCAGCTTCAGGTAAAAAAAAGTTATTTAGCCTTCCCAAACCTGAGACTCACGCGCCGCCTATGGATCTATCATTCTTCCATAAACTATATATCGTAAACTGACAATGCGAAGCCACATAAGTATTCAGATTTTTAACAGATATAAAGGATTTAACGGAGTGAACAAGGTATTCTGTTTTGTTTCCTGTCGTGTTTTTAGTTTCTAGATTAATGAGCAGTTACTTCCTGTAATGCAGCTGAGAGCTGTGGCAGTCAGTCGTAGTGTTTGCAGAGAAGATATGATGGGATGTAAAGCCTGAGATCAGGACTCTGAATCTGACTCAAAGAACAAACACTTATTTTTTAAAACTGGATCTAAAACTGTTGGGTTGTGTTCATCCCTACAGGATCAATGGAGAGATGATCAGAGCCAAGATCCAGAAGACCTGTGAGTACTGAAACCAGATCCTCCATTCATCAGGATATGGTACATTTTAAATCTGATCTTAAATGCATGCCCTCATAGAACAACAAAACATTTGTTTTAATTCCATTTTCATTTAGTTGTTTAATGTTTCCCTTTCTTTAAGTTTTATTATCATTATTTTTCTCTGTCACCTCTTCTCTCAGGTGACTCTGATGTGGAACAGGAAGTGAAGACCGACAGAAAGGTGAGCAGTTATACAGCGTGAAGATTATTTATTATTGTTTCATCACTGAATCAAATGTAATTATTGCTCATTATTGTTTCCGGGATCCAGAGAAAGATGCGAGCTATTCATAAACATAGACTAGACAACAGTACATTTTGGGAAATGAAGAAATATATTTAATTATGTATCATTATGTACTCATCTGCTGTCCTGCCACAAAGTGCTGTGATTGGCTGGGGGGCTACAGTGGTTGCTCAGCGCTATCTCACATGTTAACCCGTTAATGACCAACAGATGAGAGGAGCAGTTGTAGAGTGCAAAGTATATTAATAGAGGTTTCACCACTGAATAAAATATCATAGCTGTTCATTGGGATCCAGACAAATCTCAGTCTCATGTTTTATTTGATATTTTCTACTTTCTTGTTTATTTCTAGTCTTCTAATTGTTATTGTACAATGCCATGTCTTTTTATGCTGCTGCAACACAAACATTTCCCAAATTTGGGATCAATACAGTACTTCTTATCTTTATTATCTCATCTTATCTATTAAAATAACCAACTTTGTGTCTATCATAACTCCAGGCTCCAGTTTCCTTCTCACCTGAACGCACATCTGAATCTTCATACAGGTAATCCTATAATCTGTTCCTACTACTCTTTTATGTAAGTATTTATATAATCATATTTATATGATGTCATGCCTTTTACCGTGAGGTATTGCCTCCAATCTCTTTCCAGCAGACATATATAATATAATGCCTCTATGTGTAAGATGGTATACAGCAGTGGTTCTCAACATTTTCCAGTCTCAACCCCTCAGAATAAACCTTTCTACCCCCGCCCCCCCCGACCTGCCGGAAATCTCCCGTCAGAAACTCTTGTGCACACACTCGGGTGCATTCACACCTAATAGTCCGCTCTCTGCTGCGCACCAGACCACAGTTTGTTACATTGTTTTATTTTTCAGAAGGTTCGGTTTGAGTTTACACGGGAAAACTCAAACGACTATAAACTTTAAACACAAGTCATGTGCTCGGAAATGCTGTTCAACCATTGGTCAGACATTAAGGGGGTGAAAACGCAAATCCCGGCAATTTCTACCGGAGCCTCCGCCATGGAGCATCGGCACTTTCGGCAGGTTATTCTCATGCTGCTGTTAATCTGGAGATCAACAGACACTAGCGGCCCGGCATATGATTATATAATCAGACAACGTCTCTTAAAAAACATTATTAAATGGCCTTGTTGAATACTCGATTCTGATTGGTCAATTCAGAACAAGTGACACGTTGTTAATCCAGAACAGACAGACCGCTGTCAAGGATTTATTGACCGTTGTTAAGGACGCTCACATCTGCACAAAGAAGTCCGTTCGATTTAACTGTATACAGTTTGGCTGAAAAGCAAAGTGCATGCAGTTTGCTTTTCTAACTGACAAGACAAGAGCGACAAGAAAACAGCGGAGAAGTAACGGGCAGAAATCCTCCTTTTTACGCAGGGGTCCAGACATAGACATCAGACAGCGACACATATTCAGTTGCCAGTTACTTTGGCATTAGGGCAGGGATATCTAGATACTTTCCAAGGTTTGACATAATGAATTGTGCTACTTTTAAAGCAAGCAGCGATGTTTTCAAATCTGTAATCAAAAAGCTCCTCAAAAACGCTATCGAAGCAGTTCCTGCCGTCGCTACGTTAGTTCAAACGGTAACAACGGACTATTTTTCTTAGCGGATGCATGTCAAATTAAATCAATACATACAACTATTTTTTAAATCAATAAAATCATTTT